ACAAGACTTTGACTAGAAACAGAACACTGACTTTCATGAGTTTACTGTATTCTCAATTTAGGCCTCTCCTTAACCAGGCAGGCATACATTAAAGAATGCACTTTGGTACTGTTTAAATAACACATCATCTTGCTTGATTCCGCGTCATTTTCTTGTTGGCAGAAGCGTCCTTGACAGGGCTTGCATACCCTGTTCTGAGTCTTCTGTCTCTGTCAAAATGCTCTTTATGATGAGTAGGAGATGAGGCAGCCAGCAGTGCAGTCCACAAGGATCCAGGCCCCTTCTCAGATTCTAATGCAGGGAGCAGGACGAATACAACCAATATACAACCCATTTTCTACTTCTAGGCAGGTGGAGAAAGGCCCTGACGACAACAGTATTTGTACAGAGTTGAGAGTAAACAGCAAATCGTATGAAAAAAAAAATTAGTTGGCATTTAAGATAATCATATTTTTCCATTGCATAGTATCTCTTCTCTTACTAGAACTTTAAGTGCACCTGGAGGCTAAGGGTTGGTGGCGTCATGTTGGATGCAAACTTGAATCCACTGAGTCTCTGCTCCCCTTGGTGGCATAGGTTGGGGAGTGGGCAGTGCCAACAAGGGGAGTCTGAGTGCTGCTGTATGAATCCAGAGTCAGGGCCCAAAAACTACTCTTGAGCTCCAACACCTTGATATTTGAGAAGGGCACTGCCTGTTTTTACCTCTTTTCAAATGAGATGATAGGAACATGAACAAGCCTTACTTTATCTTGGCTTTGACCAATTATTTCTTAAGACATCAGAAAAAGTAGAGAAGGAGCCTGCCCAGAGTTTGGGGTTGCCTCCCACAAGAAGAAGGCTGTGAGAAGTTGCCCTCTTATTTACAATACATTTAAGGAAAGTGAATAAATATTTTTGTTAATAAAATAATACTGCTAATACATGGGACAGTGTGCACAGTCTTGGCACTTTCTCCTTCATGTAATTTGCCAACCTCTAAACTGGTGAACTCTGCATCTCTTTAAGTCTCTATTCTGCTTTCTCAGCTACAGTGGATAATGATCATGTGTAAAGATGCATTTTGGATCTCTTTGGAGGAAAATTTATTCAGCGGCTCTTATCTCTAGTCACATACCACCACCACCCTCTCAAAAAAGAAAATGGCTTTCTCATTGAGTTGTAAGAATTCATAACCAGCTATGCTTACCCCTAAAGACCAGGCTGAAAGATCATTTTATGAGTTGAGGAAGAATAGGCTAGCTGAAAAAGATGTGAGTCCCCTAGGGAATTCTTGTTTTAAAATGAAAAATGAAAGTCTGGTTTTTAAGCCTTGGTAGTTAAAGGACAATTATTCCAACCAAAATATATTGCTTTCCAAAATCCCATATTCACATTACTCACACTATGGGGGTTTTCTCTACCCTGGGATGTACTTGGGAAATACAGGTACATTTTAATTCTAACTGAAAAAACTCAGGACTGAAAATCTGTTAAAAAGCTTCCTAAATCATTTGGGTGTCTTCCTCATTAGCAAAGTGTGTGTGTCATTTTAAGGTCTGTTTAGTCAGACCCTAGAAAAAAATAAAACAGCACTGGACGTCAAGTTCCTCATCTGTTAAAAAAAGAAAAGGAAGAGGTTTAACTTGATTTTCACAACCATTCCAGCTTTAATATTCTGTAATTATGATCCAGCCTCCTACTTTTCTTTTGCCCTCTCTCCTGCTGGTCCTCTATCTCAATGAAAAGCCAAGCAGGAAAAAGAAATCCCAAGTTGCTGCCAATTCTGGTGAGAGGTCTGGTTGGGAAGGAGGTTAAGAGGTTGCTAAGTCGAGGTGTGGGCTTCCTCTAACCATGTCAGTGATCCACAACCTGCCTCATTTCCTGGGGCTTAGGCCAAGAACAGCTCCTGAAAAGAGGTTATTGTCCTATAATCACTGGAGGAAAAAATTCATTCTCCCTGTTAAAATCGTGCAGGAAGTAGAAAGCAGTGTTTCAATCTAGTTCACAAATACTGATGGGGTCTCTAAAATGTGCAAGGCAGCATGCTGGGTGCTGGACAGTATCCTGAATGGAACAATCCAAAACTATCACTATGAAAGAAGTGGCGTTTCCATAAGACCATTAACAAACTTTCCAGCCACATACACATTCAAACACATTCCATTAGAACTCTAAGCTCCTCAAGAGCATGGGCTGTCCTTTCCACCTTTCCACCTCCACAGCCCAGCACAGGGCTGGCACAGGAGTCTGAAGCTCAGGAAGCATCTGTCAAATGGAATGAAATGGCGAACAGCAAAGCCTCAGGTCATCAACTTCATCAGTCAAGCACGGGGCAGCTTCCTATTTTAGTCATCAGCAATTAACTAAGCAGCTTTAATGTCTTAAAAGGCATTTTTCCTCGAGGGAAAATTAACAACAACAAAAAAAGCATTCATCACTAGCATTTCCTCCAGGCAAAAATAAAAAATTAAATGTATACAAAAGTAATAAATGAAGTCACCTAGGAGAAGTTTTCCTAACAAGTCTAAGTCAAGAATTACACTTAAAAAAAAAAAAAAGAGGCAATTATATGAAAAGGGGTCAGGGGCTGGATGCATAACCCCTATCGTATTACCGACCCAATGGGCCCAGAGGTCTTCTTGCAGCTAACACAATCAATGTTCCCAAAGCTTCTTTCCTACTCTACAGAAAAAGGCTGAGAGCCGCCTCCTCAGGGCACTGCCATTTCTGGACCCATCAGAATGACCTCCACCCCCTGACCTCTCTAAACCTCCCCTTTAATACAGTGGTGGTGGTGGGGGGTGGAGCCAAAAAACCAGAATGCATATACACAAGGAATAGAGTTAGGATGAGGGCAGTGTGTATGGTGAATTGGACTCCAGCGACTTGTGAGAGACACATGTTTTGTGAAGTAGCGTCTCCCTCATTCTAACTCACGAGCTCTCCCCAATGTGCTCATTTCCCTTGTCTTTCTCACTCTTTCCCCCAAAGAGGTCATGCCAACAACTCCATCTGTAACCACAATCCAGTGACAAGGAGGAAACTTTTCAGAAAAAAAAAAGGGTTCAGGCTTTGGCTATTAAGTATGGGGAGCATCTCAAAATACAAACAATACTTTAGTGGTTTCTTCCTCCTCCAAAGCCAAGTAGGTTAAAGATCAACCCTGTTCCCTCCTTAAGGAAACTGCTCTGCCCATATCTGAGAGACCACTACTCAGCAGGAAGTTTGGAAAACAAAAACTGTCAAACCATTTAGGCACCATATTAGGTGCAAGGGAAAAAAGCAAGCCGGACCTAGTATTTGGAATATTTGCTCAACAAGAAGTAGCTTTCATTCTGTACCTGAAGCTAAAACTTGTTGCTACTGCTATGTAACTTCTTAAAATCAAAATATTAATTTGGGGAAATATTTAAAATATATATTTTTATCTATTAAAAATATCTTTTTTCTGAAAACAAAATACAGTTCCAACTGAAAAGTATTTTTCAAATGACTTGGAAACATAGTAAAAGGTGGCAAGTGGAAAAATAAGTCTTTGCTACTACCAATGGGATTAGCCTTCCTATAATACCAACTAAGATCAAAAAGGAAATACATGAAATGGCAGTAACGGATGCCTTCTCTATGGCCATTTAGTAAGGTCACCCTCCATGTCCTCGCTGACCAGTGCCAGCTGTTTTATCCCCGGCACTAGCATGTCCTCCAGCAGCCCCTGGAAAGCATATGTTGCTGGTAAGACCTAGCACTGAAGTGGTATGAATATAAAGAGAATGATCTATGTTTTTTAAGCATACACTTGTACCTGTGTGCACACACAGAGCACAGAATACATACATCCAAGTGAGTGAAGCACCCCACCAAAGCAGTCACCGAGGAGGTTCCCCAGATCGCAATGATGACCATGATGCTTAAGACATCTCTGGAACTTCTCTTTGGGAACTGTTTATGAGCTGCACAAGAAAAAGGCTCTGACTGCTATATAGCTGCTCTTCATTTGTGACTCAAACCATCCCATCTCTGCCCTCTTCATAACCTACCTTCTTCTCCAGAGGCTTCCAACAGTTCTGACTAGTTTCAAACTTCAAGTTTTCGCTCCTTTAACCCCAAAAGGTTGATGATTTGCCCTCAGAAAAAGGGCAAATATCCTGAGAAGAATCAAAAGAAGGTGCTAATTTCCTAGTGACCTTGATAAGTGAGCCACTGTTCTGAATCTTAGCCCCTGCCTTAGAAAAAGAAGGAGGTTGGAAAAGATGACCATTAAGGTCTCTTCTAGTTCTAAAAGTCTAGGAATCTGTTTCTAGACTTTGAGGACAGTTCCAGAAATGTTTTCAGCAATGGCAACATCATTGGAAAAACTATGCTATATATGTTGCTAGGACTACTCCAAGGGGACAATGTACATTGGGATATATAAGCTCTGTAAGTCTCTTAAAATGCCAGTCACATGACTTTATAGCAACAGTTCATACATGCACAGGGAATGCCAGTCCATCTGAGATTCCCTAAAATCATACCTTAATCCCTATTCTCAATGAGCCCAGTTGGGCAGAAGCACCAAGCACCACCAGGGATGCAAAAGACACATGGTGTCAGCTGCTAAGGAAAATAAATCCCAAAGGTCCATGGGACTGAATTTACCAGCTGCATCCAGCTAGATACCTTGTTTCCATAGTATGGAGTTTCAGCATTGTTCTTTGCCTGACTTCCGGGCGAACTATTAGGATTTTAGATCAACACTGCTATAACCCTTGGCCATGTGGAGAGTAATAATGAAGCGTGATGTACTCTGCCTCACCAGGAAAACAGCAGGCATGGAGGATGGGGATAACTGTACAGTGTGTATTTATACTTCCTGTCAATCTCAATTATTTGCATGTGGATTTTGCACTATGGTGCTCAATGCCCAGCCAGCTTTCCCTAGACTCCCCTGGCATGCCCTGGGTTGCAGTCCATTAGGGCAACTTTTTAGTGTGGAAAATCCATGGGATTTGTTGTCAGGAGACCCAGCAGTCAGTCTGGGCTATGCCACTTAGTAGTTGAGAGAATTGAAACATCTGCACTGCAGTTTCTTCATCTAAAAATGGGGCTAATAGCACTTACATGTTAGGTCTCCTGGGAAGACCAAATTAAACGATGACTGTGAATGTGCTCTGTCAAAAATACAGCATTAATCAAATGCTATTTTTTAAACAAGGAATGTAACTTAATTTTTGTGGGAGCATAAGCTCAAATGATTTAGGTAGGTAGATTTACCTGTGGTAGGAGGAAGTGGAGGGGGAACATAACCATCTATCATTTTATCTGCCAAAGAACTACACTGTTCTATTCTTTTGAAAAAGATGAAATTAATTTTTATCTGCAAGGTTGATTTAAAACAAAGCCTTACTGAAAAAAGCCAGGAGGGCTATTAGTCTGAGAAGGTATCCCCTCCTTCCTCTACCATGTCCATTTGGCCACTGTGCTCCTGCACGAGGCCATGCGAAATCTCATTCCAAGAGGGTGCTGACAGATTTGGCCCAGAAGCCCTCAGGGATGGGTCACTCTGGGGATGAGGAGTGCTTCTGGCCAGGGTCATACTGAGGCAAAGACCCATTTCCCTTGAATATTGACTACAAAGACCCTAGAACATCTCAGAACCATGAAACAGTGTTTTGCCATCAAGAAACCCAAAGTGAGAACACTCAGCTCTTCAGAATAAATGATCAAGCCCAAAAACTTTGAGGAAATTGGTAACACTGTCCTTTAAGTGCTACTTGGCACCAGCCATGTTGCTGGACCGTAAAAGATACTGATCCACACTTCCTTTTCGCCGACTCACAGTCCGCCTCTCATTGTCAAACATGCGCTGCAATTGCAGAGCCAACTGTCGGTCCTCTTCCTCTTGCTGCAATTTCTGCTCCATCTCTCGCAGTACTGGGTCTGCGGGAACCAAACCCACCTCACCACTGGTTTGTCGAAGTTTCTTAAGGGAGCCATTTTGTTCCAAGTGCTTGGTCTTACAGTGTCTTTTCCGGCCCCGACGTAAGGATGGAAGCGGTTCCTCACCTAGATTGTCTACCAGTATACCGTTAGACAAGTCAAAATGATTCAAGGTCTTCAGCTGTTTCTTAGTTTTGAGTACCCCACCCAAAACACTGTTTTTGGGTAGCACTGAATTAACTGTGGAGATTTTCATGGCTGTACAGGGCTTGTCAAACTTAGCATCTGGGGTTAAGCCCGATTCCTCAAAGTGTTCTCTCTCCAAAGAAGTCCCACTGGCTCCCCCTTTGAGTTCTGAGAAACAGCAGGTTTCCAATGGAATCTCAGTGTTCCTTTTATTATCACTGCCCTGTTCAGCTTTTGTTTGGCTACCAGAAGGGAAAAAATCAAGGTCAGTAGGTGTGGGCCCAGTATACTCTGAGGGTACTTGCCCGCTGGACAGTCTTGTATTTAAAGCCAGAACTGGCTTCTCTTTGCTAGAATGGATAACTTCTGAGACTAGTAAGTCTTCCCCTGTTTCAGGAGGCTGGGAAGTGAGAGTGGCTTTTGAAAGGGTCTTTTTGATCTGCCTCTCTTGAAAGATCTGTTCCCATTTTTTGAGGATCCATGGACTGGCCTCATAAGAAGTCTGCTTCTGTAGGCTTCTGTTGAGGTTGCGGGGTGTGGATTTGATGATGAGGGGACTTAGCACACGGCCATCGGGGAGCCTCTTGGGAGGAGTGCATGGCGAGCAGACAATGGGCTTGAAATGATTTAGTTCTTCAGAGATGCTATCATTGCTCTCAGGACTGATAGAACGTTCTGGCTTATGCAGGGAAGCCAAGGAGGAGAGGGAGCTGAAAGGTAGACGCTTTTCAATGGCTAAGTCTGGGGCTGAGAGACAGCGGTTGTTTTGGGTAGACAGGAGGACACCAATTATAGGGTTGGTTGCTGGAGTCATAGTTGTGACCTGAAAAACAATTTTTAAATAATTACATATATGTATATATATTTATTCATAAGGAGCTCTGGTGATTCAGTGGTTAAAGAATTTGGCTACTAACCAAAAGGTAAGTGGTTCAAACCTACCAGCTACTCTGTGGGAGATAAGATGAAGCAGTCTGCTTCCATAAAGATTTATAGCCTTGGAAACTCTATGGGACAGTTCTACTCTGTACTATAGAGTCACTATGAGTTGGAATAGACTCAGTGGCAGCAGGTTTGTTTTTGTTTACATATATATATATATGTGTATGTATGTGTGTATATATATCTATATGTGTGTGTGTCTATATGGGAGCTCTGGTGACATAGTGCCTAAGGCATTTGACTGCGAACCAGAAGGTTGGCAGTTCAAACCCACCAGCCACTCCTCAGAAGGACGACTGGGCAATCTACTTCCATAGAGATACCACCTCAGAAACCCAAGAAGGGGTTGCTGTGAGCTGGAGTCGACTCCATAGCAGTGAGTTTCTTTTTTGTTGTTGTTGTTGTTATTTATAAATATATATAAAACACACACACATATATATATACATACACACACACACGCACAGTAGTGTCCCTTTAACGTCCATAGTATGTTCTGTGACAGAAGATGTTATGGGATTTGGACACTGTGCAAATACCATATAATATACAGGCAGTCCCTGGATTACAAACGCGTTCCATTTCTAAGTCTGTCTTTAAGTTGATTTTGTATATAAGTTGGAGAGGTTAGGTATGGTTCAAATCTAATGTCAGTTAATCAAATGTGTATCTTAGTATATAGTATATAGTGTACCTTTCTATGCATAACATTAAGAAATACTTCCGGATACACTAAAACATCTTTAATACAGTAATAATAATGTTTTGATGTACATCACAAAGTAGTGCACATCTGTTGATATGAACCCTTGTATGTAACCTTGAATTTTTAATATAATAAGCTTTATAGGACTTGTGACTACGGATATACATGTGGTCAGATATTGTCTGAATAGACACTATGCAGCAACATTTATCTATAAAAACCAAAAAAACCAAATTCACTGCCACTGAGTCATTCTGACTTCCAGGAACCCCCTTGGGGTTTCCAAGGTGGTAAATCTTTATGGAAGTAGACTTCCATGGAGTGGCTTGTGGATTTGAACCACCAACCTTCTGGTTAGCAGTCAAATGCCTTAGGCACTATGTTACCAGAGCTCATGTATGTTGTCATAATTCCCTTATGATGGTAGAGAGATAAGAAGGAAAGGGCAAGAAAAGGGATGAAGGGTGTGACGTGAGTCTCAAAAATAAACAGGGAGAATCCCTAACCTAGAAAGTATATTGTTTAGCAGAAATTCCTATACACTTAAAACATAAAATTGATAATCTGTATTAAAAAAAAACATACCTAGAGCTTTTAAAAAAGTTCATATAGTGGCCCTAATTCCACTCATCTGGTTGTTATATCTTCCTTCGTATCTGTCTACAGAATTCTCTGACATAACTACTGTGCTGAGGATCCCTTCTGCTTTTTCTCATCTGGAATAGTTTCTACTGTGGCCATGAACAGAAGCAGTTAAGAGGCAGGACTAGAGAAGCCCCAAAGCCGTGTCTGAGGTCTACCTTGGCTTTGCTGGTTGGAGCTGCTCGGAGTCTGCTCTTTGTTCTGTCCTGAGCAGTGTCATTGCAGCTCGGACTCCTCTCCATCTTGGAATTTAGATTCCTAAAAGAGAGTAAGAAAAGACAGAGTCAAAATCATTCTGTACACCAGTTAAGGAAAAAGGATGACAATCTCACAATCTCTTCTAGAATCTACTCTTTGTTCTTTCTAAGCCACCCACCAAGAAAGACAATTCTGTTGGGCAGCTAGAATAGAAAATGAGTTAATTTACTAATAAAACACATTCTAAGAACACCCTGTCAAAAGAGAAAGAGCTTTCCAGAGAGGTCTCCAAACCAGTCCCTGTGAAGATGAGGCAAGTGTGATGGCTATTTTGTCCATGTTTAGCCCTACATAGGGACAGGATACTTCACCTCCCTTAACAGGGTGAATACAGTATTAAATCACCGTTACAAGCAACAACTTTTTCCATTTATTAGGCCCCAAACTCTCCTCAATCTATATCAGCAATGGAACAAATATTTAAGCACTTAACAAAATGCAGAGATGTGCACTGAATTTTTATGAAGGGTATCAAAATTATATGCAGTTCCTCCCTTAATTCATTACTTCTGAGCTTCCAATGGCC